ATATATATTTCAATTAAAATTTATTTTATTATATACTAAAATTATTTCAAATTTATTATCTTATGAAATATGTAAATTCAACTTAAAAAATAATTATAATTATATATTATTAAGTAATAAAAAGATATTTAATATTTTAGAAAAAAATTATGTTTTTTATTATCATTATTATTTATATCATTATAAAAAGTACTTACAAATTATATAATATCTCATATCTAGTATTAATATAATTAATATAACCAAGCAAAAAATTATTATTTATTATCGAAAATATTATATTTATAAAATTATTGAAAAAAAATATTTATTTTTATAAAATCATATTTTTAAGAAAATTTAATTTAAACATTTGTTTAGTTTACATACAAACATATTTTTTCGAATAAAAATGCTCACTATGATTATGACTATGATTATAATCATTGATATTATTATATATAGTATATTGTTAGAAAGAAAAAGGGGAAAAAAAATTTAAAAAAAATTTTTCATACTTCAATTTATTAATTAAATATTGCAATCATTAAAAACGTAAAATATCATGATATTTTTAAAATATTCATAATGATCTAATCATGAGAAACAGAATAATTATGAATATTAATAATATATATTATTATAAAAAGATTCTTCTCTCTGATTTTAATGACTTTGAAAAACATTGTTAAATTCAATATTCTGAATAACTTTTTCCTATTAACATCGATTAATTTTAGTTTCTGAGATTCTGAGTAAAAAATTGTCGATAATTTTACAATAAATATTTTTTTTATTATAATTATGGCAATGTATCTCTTTGTATTATATAGTTAATATCGATTGCCAATACGCTTTGACAGCTAAATAATCTATCCAAATCTAAATTTATTTTTTTAGTAGCTTATAATATCTATATAAATAAAAATTGATTTATCCTTCGCAAAATAAAAATTGTATATAATGATAGATTAGTAATATAGTGATAGAAATATAATGATAGATTACTAATTTAAGTAAGTATTATTAAATTCAACTTAATTTAATCTAATTTAACATAATTTTAATTATGTCAAATCTTAACTTCTTCACTCACTTGTTGCACATGCTGCACGCTAAACGCATCGACGCGATAATAGTTCATGGCTATTATATTTAATAGCTATCGATTAAAATCAACGATCATATAGAAAAGATTAAAAATCATGTATATAGAAGTATTAATTAAATAATATCGAACTTCTTTTTGCTTATAACTCGAAAACTGAACAACATATATATAAGGGAAAATTGTTCATATCTCTCGATAAGATATTACAAGAAATCGATAAAAAGAATTATTTTATAAATAATTATTATGAAATGACGAAAGGTTTTTATATCCTTCTATATTTCACAAAAAAAAAATGAAATTTCAAATAGATTAAGATAAATATTAAATTTTATGTATATTCTCAATAATATTTTTTTTTTATAATTATAATGAATTGATAAATTCTATTTTAAATCAATGTCGATGATTATTTTTACATTACAAAAAGTAATGAATCATGAATCATAAATATATCATTTTAAGATTATGATATATAAAATTTCTTATAATTTTATTTTTCGTTTTTAAGCTTTTAAATAAAAAATTTCTTTCCTCTTTATTTGGATTTATTGTATATCTCAGTTCTATTAAATATTTATTTATAGATACATAGAAGTCACGGAGTAATATATGTACCTTATGAAGGCAGAGAAATCCCATTGAGAGATTATGAAGTGCTGGTATTACATTAATTTATAAATATTACGAAGCAAATAAAAAATTACTGCAATATATGATTACTTTTTCTTTATTTTTTGCCTGAATCTCTAAAATTTCATTATAAAATTGAATTATAAAATATACATACAGAATTACAAAATACATACAGAATTATAAAATATACATCAGAAATATACATATGTATAATTAATTGACATTTAAATTTATAATTTTGTAAAAAGAAAATATATTTTGTCATGTAAATGATGAGAATTTATTTTTCTGTCATTATTAGAAAATTCATTATTACATAAAATATAAAATCTGATTATTAAAACAATTATTATTTTTTATTTTTTAAAATATTTGTAATTTATATATATCTTTTCCTATCAAATCATTAATCAAATTTAATTGTCTAAAATTAAATTTTTTGTTTTTTTAAATATCAAAACTATGTAAATTTTTATTTAATAATTAATATTCATATTTAATTTTATATATAAAACTTACATTAATTTAATATATTATATATACAAATATAATATAAATATATTTAAATGAA